TATTACCTTTTTTGTCTGATCCACTCAAATCGCCAAACTTTTTGTTGCCGGAGCCATGCCAATGCCGTGGGTCCTGTGCCGGCCAACCATGAGCACCGGTGATCGAATTAAGCTCATGGGGTGGTGGGACGGAGGGTGTTGTTGCTGACGGTGCAGATGGAGGTGGATTAGGGTCGAACAGATGGGGAGGCATTCTGACACGATTTGGCAACACACCGTTTGGGCCTAGTTCACGAAGCTCGTCAAAACAAGGCTCACCAAGGGCATCTGATGGCGAGATACGCCGGGTAGGGTTGTAGACTAGCATTTTGCTCATAAGAGCAAGTAAATCTGACGGTGTGTGCTGAGGAAAGAACAGTTTGACTGGACAGGATTGAACTTCCGGGAAGTTGTATGAGCCATACATAGGATTCATACTTTCAATGTCTTGCGTGGTTGGTGTCCCGAGAACCCTGATCACTTTAACAAGTTGATCAACTGAGTCACCACCCATAAAAAGACAATGTTGTCGGAGCATTTCAGCGAGAACACAACCAGCGCTCCAAGTATCGATTGCACATGTGTAAAGCTGGGCTCCAAAGAGTAGTTCGGGTGCACGATAATACCTACAAAAAAGAAATAACAATTGATCTAAGTTCAGTGATTAGCACTTTTTAGCTAAGATATTTTGAGTGAAAATAAGACGCTCTCCATTAGTCAGTGTCACTCAAACATGTGACGAATGTTACCAAAATAAAGATGTCAAATACAGAGGACTTGTATATTGTGTAAGTACCGTTTTAAAAGATATTCGAAGCTTGGTCAGTCAAATAGACATGAAACAACCTGAGGTTCGTATATCAAGGCTACAATTAATCAAACAGAACTTTTTACTCTTGCTTTCCTTGTTCCGGTCTTTGGAGTTGTACTACACTCCCATGCCCAGAACTGCGAAGGTTCCCAGTCCTGTTTGATTTGATCATGATGGAGGAAAATATGAATTTGAAAATTCGAATACGGCAGGCATTTTTCTGATGGGTTTTCAGACACATTCGTCGTATGTACACAGCACTATTGAGTTGTATGAATAGAAAACACCAGAAGCTGACAGATGTCAATCAGTGTCCCGCAGACCCAAAAGTATTCTGCACTTGACCCAATTGCGCAAGTCATGATAAAGATACACGCGAAATCATCATCGTACGATGAACTACAGTGAAGCTGAACACTGCAACAAATGTACGCCCGAAAGTGTTCAGTTTCAGTACTGGAAAGCATCAAACATTCAATAATCAATCCAAGGAAAGTTTATTTTAAAATGGTATGCGCTCAGTACAAATCAATCAGCTACGTAAAATCGCTGGTTATTTAAAAACAAAACAGTTTCATGCTTGAGCTGGAAGATGCTTTAACCCTGACACCCATAACGCGACCATCTAAAACCAATGAGCCGACTAGTACTATCAAAAGAAATTGATAACTCAGTCAGGTACATACTCCAGAAATATACTTTCGGACGATACTGAGAGGTCTGGGAAATACCGTTTTTCGCCAAGTTCCACGTGGTTTGTTATCCATATGCTGATTCTATCGTTCAATAAGTGAAATCATGAACTACACAAACGGATTCAATTTTACGAAGTTCCTCCAGCTTGCAGAATACCATTTTAAACGGAGAACCAGTAAACTAGTCTTAGCTCAGAAGTGCAGTATTCCCTTCGAATAATGGGTTTGTCCCAAATACTGACTATGATGTAGTGAAAAACGTACAACAGCATATTCTATTAGTCTGTTTGTCATTTTTATTACACACATTTTGTGACGAACAGCATTTTTCACTTTTTATAAGTTTTGTGTGATGAACATCGGACCGGGTGGACCCCACAATCGCGAAGACCTGCTATTCAGTGATGGAAATCGACGACCCAAGACCTGGGACTTGGAGTGACGAACCACATAAGACCCCGCTAGGTAAACCGTGATGATAATTCAGAAAGTAGTTCACTAAGACAATAAATCCCATCGTGCCGTCATGCAAGCAAAATAAGAACACGTGTAGCTCCCAAGGCCTCAGTATAGTCAGGGGTGGGTGTCTAGGGTTGCGGCTGGTCACCCTGCCCTTGCACCTCACAAAATGCTCCCGTACGACCAAACGTCTCAAATAGCCTCTGCTGAGGAAGCCCTACTCACTGCCTTCTCGTGGCGGTGTTTCCCACCAAAGTGAGGGGACGAAAAGCCGATATCCGGGGCTATAGCCGGGTTGGTGGACCACTGGCAGTTCACCTAGGGGAGTCGGCCAAAAACCCTGATTCCAAACCAACCATGAGGAGACGTACGAACCACACCCACACCTTTTCGGTTCTGGCAATGGTCACCGGATCGATTGGCCA